TGTGTGTGTGTGTCTGTGTGTGTGTGTCTGTGTGTGTGTGTCTGTGTGTGTGCACGCGCGCACGTGCGGGCCACCATGCCTCTGCTCTTGTTAAAGCTTATTTACTTTGACCACTTAGTGGTGGCGCACGCCTTTAGTTACAGCACTCTGGAGGCTGAGGCAGGCAGATCTCTCTGAGTTCGAGGCCAGCCTGGTCTACAGAGCGAGCTCCAGGACAGTCAGGACTACACAGAGAAACCCTGTCTCGAGAAACCAAACAGCAGAAGCTTATTTACATTTTTGTTTTGTTTTTCCAGTAAGGGTTTCTCTGTGTAGCCCTGACTGTCCTGGAACTCACTCTGCGGATAGGCTGGGCTCGAGTTTATTTACTTTTACTTTATGTGTGTGGGTTATTTTTCTGTTAACGTAGTGGCAGAACCTGAACCTGCTGATATTTTAACAACCTGCTGCTCAGACCCAGGCTGGCAGGATCCAGTCCCAGCTTGGCCGCTGCCGCCAATGGTTCTATTTACCAATAATGAACCAGGAATCAGATGTTGGGGTGAAAACCTTCTAGTTCATAGAAGCCAAGAAGCAACCAGCTGACCTTTTGGCCAGAGACCCAGCAAGAAAAGCTTCTTTCCAGCTGCCCCAAATCAAAAACATCGCGGATCCCTAGGTCCTGCCCTACTCCTTCCTGGGCGTTTCTATTTAACGGGGACTATGAGGGGTCCAGCCCCTCGATAGTCCCCTCCCAGGGTCTGGGAAGAATCTACAACCAGCTGAAAATTAATCTTTGATGAAAAGAAATGAATCTATGTACACAAAACTCCTTAGTTCATACACTTTATTATTATTCTGTGATAGTTCTCTCTCTACACAGCTTCTATTCTGCTCTCATGTCTAGCTCCTTCCTTGCCTGATTTCTCTATATTTATCTACTGTCCCCTCTAGGTTCTACCTTGATTCCTTCATCTAGTTCTGCCCCTTCTAGGTTCTCATCTATCTAGTTCTTCCCCCTATCAGCTCCTCTCCCGTCTCCTTCTCTCTCATCTGGCTCTTCCTCATCTTGTTCTTTCCCATCTGGCTCTTCCTCATTTTCCATCTTGTTCCTCTTGTCCTCTCTTCCAGCCCTTCAATCTAGTTCTTCCCCCACCTCAGTTTGTTCCTCTCAAGTTCTTAACCATCTAGTTCTTCCATTCTCTTTTTTCTTCTCTGTCCTCTGCTTTACAGTTATATATCTCCCCAAAATCACAATCCTCCCCTCCACCCAGGACACTCAGCCTGAACTTCCTCAGGCAGTGATTGTCTGCTATCAGGATCAAATGGAGGGTGATAAGAATTACAAAGAGGGACAATAGTTGTTAATTACCATTTGTGACCCAAAGGGGAAGTGACTAATGAATTAACTAAAGGCTAAATACAGGTAATATCTAAGAAGAGGGATCTTATGTGCACAACTATAATCTTAAATGTGTTTGGTAAAAGATGTTAAAAATCTATAAGTTGCTAGGTCAATGGGAGAAAATAAAACTGTCTTCTTTTTTCCTGTGGCTCCTATCTGTCCAAGCTATCTGCCGTTTTTCTGCAGGGTGGGGGAAAGTGTGCTCGGTCTCTAGGCAACCTGTACACAGCTAGATGCCTCTGGTGATAGTTAAAGGGAGATCTGGAACTGGAGGTAAGATTTGGGAAAGGAGGAAGTTCAGTTTAATTAGCACATCCACCAGGCCTTCTCAAACAGGTAGCCTGGATGCTTAAGTCTGTTCTTAGAGAGTACAGAGGTATCTCTGATAAGGTACTTCCTCCGTCTGGGGATGCACCTGGCCGGATGCTGCTAATGATGATAATTACAGGGAGGCTTGAACTGGGAGTTCTGGCTGAGCATAGCTGTTAGCGCAGAATGTTATCTAAATATTCCTAGAAGTGGTTAGGTAAGTAGTCAGAGGTCTATAAAGTTAGTAAGGCTGTAAGAAAGGAGGGGTCTGAGCTAAATTGTGTAAAGCTATTACTTAATGTCTACCTGACCTAGGCGGCGTCCTCTTGTGGAATTTACCTTAAGTCAGGAGACTCGCCCGTGGGTTGTTATCACTGTTAGTCCTCGGAAATTGGGTGACCACCTGGGCGATGTCTCCTTTAGTCCTTGAAAGTGGCTAGGGGAGATATCTGATTCCAGAGAGAGCCTTTCCTGAGGCAGTTCTCCAAATACCTGGAATGTGTATGTCCAGAGAGTGATCAGTCCACACTGTTAGCCCTTCTTAGGGAAAAGTCAATTGGGAAAACTATGAAGGCACACATGATTTTCATAACAGAAGACAGCTGATATATAACAAGCCAAGTAACACCAAAAACTCCTTGGGATTTGGCTTCCGCTGGAGGAATTCCCTGATCCCTCCAGGTAGTGACTTTGCCATAACCAGCTGAGTTCTTATGATATTCCTGCGGCCCGCAGCATCTATGTCCATATTTCTGACTCTTAAGTCTTCTCTAGGGCTAATTCCTGTCAACTAGTCATCTGCTCTGCCCTCTGATCCAAGGCTGATTTTATCAACACAGTCTCGGAGTTTCACAGTGGGATCAAATTCCCGCAATGGTGAGGGTTTTGTTCCTGTGTCAGGGTGCCACCCGGGTGCCTGGTGCCCCTGGAGGAGAGAAGAAGGTGTCAGGTCACTGGGACTGGAGCTGCAGATAGTGGTGAGTGTCATGTGGCGCTGGGAATCAAACTCAGGTCTTCTGCAGGAGCAGCGAGTGCTCCTAACGGCTGGGCCAACTCTCCAGGCCCTCTGTTACTTGGTTATAGGGCATAATGACCGCCCCTCTAACACACCGGCTCCCTTTGTCCCCCAGGCCACCTTCATGCACGCGCATGATTATATGTGTTAGTAGAAATTCTAGAATGCATTTCAGTTTTCTCACGGGAGGTCCTGGGTTCATGGGAACTGCCCTGGAGAGCTGAGCCTCCTGGCTCTCCTGCTTCAGCTTACTGAGTAGCTGGACTGCAGGCCCGAAGCCAGCACGCCCACCTCAGAGTTGACTCCTCGTAGCCTGAGACTTTGTGTGTTTGGGTCCTGATTCCAGCTCTGCTACGTTTACTGCCTTCCCTACCTGTAGTGGTATTCTAATTGTACTGAAATGTGATTTTAATTGTATGTTAATAAATAAAGTTGCCCAGGGGTCAGAGCTATTAGAGCCATAGACAGA